GTACAGCAAGTAAGAAATGATATATATATATATATATATATATATACACACACACGCAGGTTAAGCTGCTAAATTCAAGATAAGTACTTACTCTTTTTTTATCTTTTCATCATGAATTTTATTGCATATTCCTAAGTCTGCTTTTGTATTAACAAACAGGTCATTTGGGCAGAATTTCACCAGAAAGTGCTTGCAAACCTAAAATAAGAAAACAATATATTAAAAAACAAATAAAAAAATTATCACACAAGACATAAGCTTAGCAGGTACAAATTAATGAAACTTTATTGTGCATAAATATTCCATGTGTAAATTTTCATATTTTCAATTCATGAGACTATACTAAATGTTACATCTGTTTTTTCCCTTTATAAAATAAAATAAGCACATAAATTCTTTATTCAATGATTTAGGTAGTGTATTCACAAATAAAAAAAGGTGGAATAGGTGCCAACAGCATTACATAAATAGCATAACTTTACGGAAACAGGAGACATTATACAATCTTCTCTTTTGGCCTAAAGATGGAAGACTTGAAAAACAGTTGGTCACACTGGTGTTCTTTATTAAAACCCTTTGACAATCAAGTTTTACTATATATATATATATAAGCAGTTTAAAACCTTTGTTTCAAAGATATGATTTGTTTTTTCGTTGAAATAATGGTATCACATTTTACAATATATTGCAATGAACAGAGCAAGACTTAGCATTTTAAATTACATTTTGAAAAGAACCTTCAAAAAATATTTAAACTTCCAAGCTGAAGTGTGAAGGTACTATTACACTCGTTCTTGGCCTTCACAGCTTCAGTCCAATAACAATGTACATTGTAAAACAAAGTGAATTGTTAGTGTAGATTAGACACTAGATGTAAATCACTAAATTATAGTAAATACAAACACTGGACATTATTTTTTTTTAATTTGAAAGTTTTCGATATTTATGGCATACATGTTAGTGATATAATAATATTATTAATTAATAAAGTAATACCGATAGTAATAGTAATATATAACATTTAGGCCTAACATACTTTAACACTAATAATATTAATAAATATTTTTTTTAGAAGTCAACTCTTAGTTTTACTCCTACTCGTCCTAATCCGACAGTCCTACTATTAGTATTACTAAGTTCTAGTTGTAGCCTAGGCTAACTAATACTATAAATATATTATTAACAATATCTTTACTACGACATTAGCCATTGGCATTACTGCCATTAGGCTTTATTACTAATGAGTATAACTAGTATTAGTATTACTAACCTAAGTAGTTAAGAAATAATTTGCTCTTGCTGTTGTAACGTTGAGTTCTTTTATTAGTTATGTTACATACATAATAAATTATTTAATACCTGTGAGTTACTCCAACTTGCTTCTTTCTTTTGATCTGTAGGTGCTAAATTACGATCTCTTCCCATTAACTCATCTAACAAAGCTTTAGCTGAAGCTAACGCCATTTTGTATTTCAGGTGAAGTTTCTTTTATTTCCACCAGAGGTTCGTTAGGTTAGATCTACGAATAATATACAAATTGATCGTTTGGACACACACTTTTTTATTGCATATCGGTAACTAGAAGTAGCGACTAATGGTAATACAATTCCAGCATGTACAATGTTTATTGTCTGTCATTCAAACATCAGACAGTACCTGTAGTCTGTAACATTGGTGAGCCTAACGAAAGCGAATATAGAAACTGCTCCAGTCAAACGTGAGCTGAGCAAATCATCTGGATTGTTACAGAATTCTTATAATAAAATAATGTCTTTAAGAAGCAAATTCGACGAACTAACGGGAATATTAATATAATATTAAAAAACTAACTACCTTGAAAGTATTTCATCATACATGATCGAAAATACTAACTCATAATCATATATTACCGTGGGTACACCAAACTTATATTTGTTATGCCAGTGATAATGGTTTAGAATTGTAATTTCTTACTTACATCTCATTTCGATACAACTGAAGTGCTACTCTCCAAAATTCGTTAAACATAAGACAAATTGTGTTTTTTTGCAATTTTGGCATGACCTTAACTGTCGCTCTTATCTATTACCATAAAACACACTACCTGAAAAAGGCTTCATTGTCAAAACTTAAACTTTCTCACCTCACCTCTGATTCCACGTTCATTGATGGGCTGCCTCTCTTGCAGTTCTGCCAGTCACTAGTGGAATCCTCTGCCAATGCTAGCTATATTGTCTGCTGGTGACAAAGCTTGTAATGTGGAGCTTGTCTACCAATTGAACTTAGATGGATGGTCTCGACTAAATCTGGGGCTTTGTTTACTTCACTGGATGGTGAATATCTAGAGGTCCTGTAGAGACTGCTCCACTCAGTGTCTGTCTCCCTCAGTCACATACCATCCAATAATTTCCATTCGTCTGGAATCCATTTTTGCCTTGGCTCAGTCTCAATTGGGGACTTTGTTAGGCATTCTGGATGCTTTGTTCTGTAAGGTGATGAGTGTCAGGGACATCCATAACATCAGAAAAAGTCCGAGATGTAGGAGAAGACTTTCCTTAGATCTAGCCATCCTGCCTTGACTCCAGACTCACCCCCTTCCAGGCTGTATGCCCATCATCCTGTATAGATTTAGGGATACTCACTGGAGCATTCATAAGTTCAGTCATAGAGAACGGAGACCTCCACAATAATGGTATCCTCAGTCGTGGCATCAAAATTCCTCCTTCCTATTATTCTATGGTATTCTCTGACACACGAATTTCCTTCAGAGTAGTCATTTAGGGTCTACTAACGTGAAGTTTGAAGAACTTATGTCTGATTATCTCTGGAAACTCTGACCGAGTTTGTCAGGAAGAACGAGTCGAAACATACAATGTGTGCAACAGTCTTTATTAAGACACTAATACAACCACAAATACGGTTACTAACATCAAACAATAAAACAAAACAGGGGCAAGTGGTGTTGTATTGCCAGTTAAAAGGAAATATTTATGAGAACTCTAATTAAGTTACGTTATGTACAAAGTTTAAATCAAAATATTGGACTAAAGCTCCAGCAAACAAGTCTGTTAAAAGTTTCAATAAAAAATTGTTAAACAAAGGAGAACCTAGTTTTTAATATAAAATACAATAATATCACACAAAGCCATATGACATATGTCACTCCTCAACTACTTGACCTTCATCCATTGCAACTGAAGTCAAGAGCAGGAGAACCCTAGGTCATTATCCAATTCGCCGACCGAAAAGACAGTCTTCAGTTTTGGAAAATTGCGAGTTATATGCCATGCAAGAAAATGTGGCTAATTACCAATTAGTAATCTAAGCTCCGGGCAGAGCTATATTCTGTGTCCAAACCGAAATGAAAAAATTATTAAGAAATTACAAAAAAAGTACATATTACCTCAGGGACCGGAAAAGACATGATACTATCTTGTACCAAAGTAGTATAACACAGCCTGATGAGCCCTAGCATTGGACAAAAGGCATCATTGGAACTAAATATAGAAGATGTATATGTAGTTGACTTATTATTACATATTTTTCTTTGCTTTCACTCTTGAGATATTAGAATAGAGTATATTTCTGTTTCATAAAAGATAATGAAATAAATCTTATTATCCAACTGAGAAAAAAAAAAATACAATGCCAAAATATGTCACCATAAGCAAAAATGTCATATGTTACTTAGTGATTATTATATATCATTTATTCTTACTAAAATGTAACCTCCCGTTGTCTCAGAAGCAAGTCTGAGGGCTCACATAGCACTAAAAATCAGGTGGGCAGAGTAAAGATAGCCCATAGTGTAGCTTTGTACTTAATAACAAATAGGCTTACAAAAATTAATAGATTCTTATCCGCTTCATTTACCCGATTTATAAATATATTACATAGCTAAATAAAGAGTTTTGTTTGTTATACATAAAAGCCACATTTAGTTATATGCTGTTTCCATCAAGTTCGTAGCCAGGTCTGGAAGTGAAAGGTTCTTTGTGGTCCAAAGTATAACTCGTTTCATGTGTAGCTTTTGTGCCCAAGGAATGAAAAACAAAACAAAACAAAAAACAAACGAAATATATAATGGTTCCTTTATTATCACTGCAAATAAAATTTATATTAAATTTCTCCTGATAAGTATTGTTACGTATCCGTTTGTTAATTAACTTTCCGTAACTTCGTTCCCGCGAAACTTTAGCAACACAAGTCCTTACTTAATAAAACTGGTTTATTCTTTCCGAATATAACTTTACGATACACTTAATTTCAACAATCGCGCTAAAACAAACGTTATAACAACGAACGTGCTCAGCTTCAATAATACTCTCTGACTGCAGATCAATTACTCACTGTCTACATACACATTACATTATTCTCCCGTCACGTTGTCACCCTCTTTTATATACCAGACTACCCTATATCTAGTAAATACTAGAGCATTCGCCAAGGTACGGGATAGTTCTAGAAACGTGGCGTCACACTAGTCATGTGACTCGCTGACGCAACAGTATTTTTAATTATCTTTTAGCTTAGCATGACCTTTGGTACTGCATAAAAATGTCGAATATTTATTGAATTTTAACA